CCCTGCTTGTGTTCCCTCTCTAGCTGTGTCTCTCTCTGTCAAATAAATAAATAAAATCTTAAAAAAAAAAAAAAAAGAATACCAGTTTCAAGTTTAAAGCTTGCCCCTCTTTAGGAATTCAAACCCTTAAGAAATAAATATGTAGTATGTAAGATGTGTCTCCTAACTATCTTTTTTTTTTTTAACCAGGAATTAGAAGAGATAATCTCTCTGCTTTATAATTTCTCTAGGGAAGCCAAGTCATGTAGTCAGAAATACTTTGCCCAAAGTAAAGAACAAGCTTAATTAATTGAACAGAGTCTCAGTTATATGGAAGCCTCTGTCACAAGAGGTAGATGGATACGGATGGGGATCAGGGCCGAAAACATCAACTCTGAGTGAGACAGTTCTTGCCTTTAAGGAGCTTATAGTGTAGTGGAGACAATAGGCACACATTTGTGAGCCTTCGGCTCAGGTCATGATCCCAAGTCCTGGGATCAAGCCCCGCATTGGGCTCCCCGCTCAGCAGGAAGCCTGCTTCTCCCTCTCCCACTCCCCCTGCTTGTGTTCCCTCTCTAGCTGTGTCTCTCTCTGTCAAATAAGTAAATAAAATCTTTAAAAAAATAGTGAAATTCTATAAAGAAGATGATTTTAATACATATACAGCAAGTCACAGGGCCTGCTGTAGCTACCATGCGCATGAGTATGTGGAATATGAGGAGGGGTCATTAACAACAGAAACAACTGACTGTGGGAGTAAAGAGAAGCAGACCTGCTTACAAGATCTCTCCAATGTGGCCAATGATAATCTTTGTCTTTCCTTGTTCCTTGCCTCTCAGTACCATTGCTTTGTTCTCTCTCCTTTGGGATTCTCTTGATTACTTAATGTATGTTGAAAAATACTGATTAAGACACATTGGAAAGCAAATAGGTTTTATGAATAAGGGTCACCCAAACATATCAGGTCCTAATCCTTGGAACCTGTAAACGTTACCTCATAAGGAAAGTATATTTGCAGATGTGATGATGAAGTTAAAGATCTTGACATGGGGAGATTGTCCTGGATTAACTGGATGGGCCCTAAATTCAATCATGTACATTGTAAGTGAGAGAGGCAGAAGAAGAAACCTATCCTCTGGAGAGAGTGTAGCCCTGCCAGTGCCTTGGTTTTGGCCCCATGAGCCTGCTTTTGGACTTCCAGTCCCCAGAACTCTATGAGAATAGATGCGTGTTGTAAGCCACCAAGTTTGTGTAAATTTGTTAGGTGGCAATTGGAAGCAAATATAGAGATAGAAAATTATTTTATGACCTTTTCTCTGAGGTGTAGCTATTAGTCAGCATTGTATCTTATTTGAGCAAGGATAGAACCAGGGTTTTCTCATCTACAAAACCATTGATTTTTGTCTTCTTTTAAATGAGTTTACTTATTCTTCCTCTATATGGTAGAAAACCTAGCAAAAGATTTATAAGAATGCCTTGTCTCCTTTGAGGTTCAGCTTAAATAACTTTGATATAACAAAAGTTGGAGAAAACTGTCTGAATCAGAGACTTTGGAATGTGAATTCATAGAAACTAATGAAGAAAAACCAAACTTGGCCTCATAGGGAAAGAATGTCTTATGCAAATCTCTGTCGTCAGCCAAGTTCATACATGCAGAGTGCAAAACTCTGTTTCACTGTTTGTTGGGGATTTGGAAATAGCTGGAGATAATCTAATTTAAAAGGACTGGCAAATTCCTTTAGCTTTACAGAATTTATTCCACATATGTCAAAGATATACTTATTGTACTGCAAAATAAACTAGCACTACAGTTGAAAAGGGAAATATTGCAGTTTACATATTATTCTCTCATATTCGTGTTATCAGTATATGTTAATGAACTGCAAAAATAATAGTGGTAATGCTGTAGAGTCTACTGGTAGATTCTGGGAACTATCAGATTAGCTAAAATGTAGTTCTGGTTTCATATACTGAGAAACTAGTAAATGAATTTCCATAGTTGATACTAAATTTACATTTATTATAAATGCAAACACATAATAGAGAACCATTAATATTTTCTTTTTCCATTAAAAATGTTCCTGGTAAGCAAAAGGATTCATAAGATCATGGTTTGCTGATGCCATAGCAACATAATCTTATATTGAGAACATCATCTGTTACAATGCAAGTAGTTCTGGTCATGTGCTTAGAATAGACTTTCCGTTGCTAAAGTACATGGTGATGTGATAGGATAAGATTTGTCCAGATGTTTACACAGCGCTTACAAGGAATTATTTTAGTGTGTTCATATGGGTTGAAATGTTTCGTGCTTAGAGAATTGAGTTACTGTTAGGACTTGGAATATTTAAGTAGCTTTGAACTTCAGGCGTAGGTTAAATGCCTATTTTGAAAAGAAAAATATGAGTGGACAGAGACTAAAATCTGTGAATTATCTGATTGCCCTAGAGATGTTCTCTATTTGTGAAAATAAGAGATCAAATAGTTCTGTTTTAAAATAGACTAGATGAAAAGTGATTGTTTCTTTGTTTTTATCATATTTGTGAAAAGAATACTTCCCAGCAGAGTTTTAATGGGAAACCATGGCAAAATATGGAACATATACACATGATGGGGGCCAATTCAGTGGTGAAGTTAATACGAAGGGTAGTGTATTAGGATTCTCCAGAGAAACAGAACCAAAAGGAGATTTATCATGATTTAGTATGAAAAATTGGTTCACATGGTTATGGAGGCCGAGAAGTTCCACATCCTATTGTTTGTAAACTGGAGACTCAAGAAGCCAGTGGTATAGTTCTAGTCTGAGTCCAAAGGCCTATGAACCAGGAGAACTGATGCCCAGTCCAAGGACAGCAGGAGACCTATCTACATCTCTCAGCTCAACATCTCTCTGCATTTTTGTTCTCATCAGGTCCTCAAGGGATGGGAGGAAGTCCACCTACATTGGGGAAGACCAGTCTCCTCTGGAAACATCCTCACAGACCCACCCAAAATAATGTTTAAGCATATATTGGGGGACCTGTGGCCCAGTCATAATTGACACAAAATCAACTACTACAGTTAGAAAGAGGAAGGTGGCAACACCAGGCCTACAGCTGAAGGAGAACAGAGAAAATTTATTGGGGCTAAGGCCATGCATCTATCTTCTAGATAGATTTAATGAATAAAATTTGACTTTAGGAGTGTAAGTTCAAGGTCAGAAGTTAGTACATGCAGGAGGACTAGAGATCTGAGGTTGTTGAGTGCTCTCTAAAGAGGGGTACTGGTTTCCACATCCATGTTTAGGTCCCACAAATTCTCGAGAGTGATGACCACTGATCTCAGATAAAGGTTGTCCACCTTCCTCTCAAATCTTAATTGGAACCCTAATATAGCTGGGCACCCACTTTGTCCCTGTCCAAGAGTGGTTATCTTCACTTAGCTATGCAAAACAACCAAAAATATTTGCCCTTACTGTGGTGGGCTGCCTAGAATTCCCTGTAAATTCTCTGGTTATTTCTAGTAGTTTGCAGAGATTAGTTAAAATGTAGTTTTAGTTTTGCGGGGCACCTGGGTGGCTCAGTTGGTTAAGCGACTGCCTTCGGCTCAGGTCATGATCCTGGAGTCCCGGGATCAAGTCCCGAATCGGGCTACCTGCTCAGCGGGGAGCCTGCTTCTCCCTCTGACCTTCCCCCCTCTCATGTACTCTCTCTCTCTCTCTCTCATTCTCGCTCTCTCAAATAAATAAATAAATAAATCTTTAAAAAAAATGTAGTTTTAGTTTTGCACACTATGAAAATATTATCACTTTTTAAAACTTGACACTAAACTTATATATTTATTATATCACACATATAATAGGGAACCATTTATCTTATCTTTTTCCTTAAAGAGTGTTTCTGGGAAACAAGAGGATTCCTAAGATCATGATTTGCTGATCCACTTTGAGAGCCAGATGGTTTTCCAAATCCAAGAAAATAAAGCACATCAGGCCCATCCCTTCCTGGCCTCATACCCACCCCATTTTGTTCCACTAGACCAAATGATTGAAACAACAACCTAGTTATCTAGAGTTCTATACTGAAGGAAGACTGTAGAAGTATGTGAAGAAGGAACAGTCATTAGGGAATTTAGCTGACTTAAATATATCATAGTTCCTTTACCACCAGTGAGAAGTATCCTTCTCTTTTTAGACCTCAAGAAAAGAGGTTTTCTTTAAGGACATCCCTTCATCCTTCCTTCCCCATTCCTTCTTTCTTAGAGCCACCTGAGAGTCTTCAGACTCTCACTCCTTCCAGAAACCATCAAATGTCCCCTCAAAAGAATGTGTTATACTTTGGATCCTTTCATGTTACAAATTGGAACCCTCGGTCATCAGCCAGCTGTTCCATTTCTCTAGGTCTCTGGGTTAGAGGAGGGTAAGGAGTGAAATTGAGGTGGGTTATAATATCATGACCAGAGGAACCTAATTCCAGCGAGGTTTCCTTTCCAGGGAAGGTTGTGTTGTGGTTGGTTCCCTTTATTAAATCCCCCTGTGGTTTAAGGATGCCTTGCAAAGATAAAAGTATTTTTTCTTTTAATACAATTGAAACCCAGGATAGAATATGTCTCCAATCAGCATGGGTTTGACATCACTATTGAGTAAAACCTACTCATTCCCACAGCCCATTAGTAGTTAAATATGTCCACAATCGACCAAAACAACAACAACAACAACAACAACAACCAGTGGGCTCTGTTCTCATCACCTGAGACCTGCCTGTTCACAGGAGAATTCACACCCTTTGTCAATGCCCATTCATTTCGCTATCAGAGAGAGACAGGGCCAGCCTTCATGTGCCAATTTGGATGGAGTTTCTCTAACTTTGGGTCCACTTCTGATGAAATAGTGGTGGGTGGAATTTTGCCAGTTCATCCGCCACCCCTATAAATGCAGCTTGAAACCACAGAGGTAACATGGCTGTGCAGGTGACTGTGGAGAGCCTTGTGTCCTGCAGACACAAGTAGACTGTTTGGAGACATCTCATCGATAACATGAGACGGAAAGGTGATCGAACAAACACGGTGAACATAAACTAGAGGAAATGAAAAAAAGGTTAGAAAAGGAAATGAAAGAATTAGAAGAAAGGCTAATCTTTATCCTTGCAGAATTGAAGGAATTATTTTGTTGCAAAAGTGAAGGAATTATTTTGTTGCTAAAGGGGGGGGGATGGGTTAAATAGGTGATGGGGATGAAGGAGTGAACTTGCTGTGATGAGCACCGAGTGTTGTAGGGAAGTGTGGAGTCACTATATTGTACACCTGAAACTAATATTACACTGTATGTTCACTAACTGGAATTTAAATAAAAACTTTTAAAAAAAAGTAGATCCTATGATTTCACCTGATTCTTCACTTGTAACTTCAGCTTGTTTTTGGTCAACGTAGTTAGAAATCAGTCTTCAGCTAAGAATTTTGGAGTAATTGTTAATATGCACATATGACATTTAAAATGTCATTTTAAATGTCATTTTAAATGACATTAAAAAATGACATTTATTTATTTGAGAGAGCGTGCTCGGAGGAGGGGTAGAGGGAGAGAATCCCCAAGCAGACTCCCCACTGAGTGCAGAGCCAGACACAAGGCTTGATATCATGACGCATGAGACCATGACCTGAGCCAAAACCAGGAGTTGGGGATGCTCAACCGACTGAGCCACCCAGGTGCCCCAACACATGACATTATTAATGTATTGAATATCTTACAGATCTTTTACTTAAATTATACTTGATTTTCCAGATTTCAGTCTTTGCCTTGCCTCTTCTTTTTCCTTGCTTCTGCAGATCCCACTACTCCATTCACTACAGGAAGGAGAAGTTCAATATTTTTAACACAGAAAATTATGTAGAGGATAGGATTTTATAATACAAGTTTTTCATCTCTGTGTCAGAGCATGTTCGTTAATGCAGTGATGTCAAGTAGTTAAGATGAGGGCAGGATTCCACACCTAATCTACCAAGTGTGTGTCAACTTTGTAAAAGAGCACAATTTTCTTTGAAAAAGCTTGGTTTTCTATACTCCCCAAATAGGAAAACCTATTAGGTGTGGGGGACGGATTAGAAAAGAAATATGCTCATAAAATCTAAGACTTAGTGAAGTCCATGAAAAGACCAAGTTCACACAGAAGCTAATGGAAAAGCATTGATCAGCATTGTCCAAGAAAGGTAAGTCTTCCAGAGAATACTGAGGACTGGAAGCCAGGCTGTGTGACCTGGTAGGACAGGTGGGGGACAGAATCTCAGAGATCCTCAGAGATCTCTTCAGAACATATACAGGTTTGTCTGTCTCTCCATCAGTTAGAAGTCCTTGACGGTAGCAGGACTCATTTGGAGTGAGGCGCTTAGAAACCAGCTGTAAGGAATTCAAAGCGGTAAGTGGGAGAAGTAAATGAACAGTACATTCAGTGAGTTTGAAGGTAATTGAAAAAGTAAATACACCAAAGGTCAAAGGAAAATGAAGCCACTTGTTTGAAGGCTGCTGAGAATTAGCTTTTAAGGGAAGAAAAGGGGCCAAAAGTTGGGATGGCAAAAAGGCAAAAAACCCCAGTTTAAAAATTGGTTGCAGTAGAAGATGAAGCAGGGATGAAGGAGGAAAAGATACTGTTCAGAGTATGGGAGAGCGAAAGGCTCCAGTGATGGGAATTCTTCTTGTGAGAATGAATTTATACCAATGACTTAGCTTTTGGAATAATGGGCAAAAGATTAAGTAGCCTATTTCCATTTATACTGTGAAACTGTTTCCCAAAGAGCAGCATGCAGATTGTTGGTGGTTAAATCACTAATGTAAGTGAGGAATTAGGAGGTCAGATATTTCCCGAATCCCTAGCCGTGGTGGAGAGTGTAGGTGCTGGTGTAGGCTCACAAAGAAGAAAGCTAGGGAAAATACAGGAAACCTTTAGGAGCTTTCTTTAAGATTATCTCATTTAATACTTAGAATAGGTATGGAAGAATATTATTGCCCATTTTATAGATAAACTTGAGATTCAAAGATGTTATGTAACTTCCCCAAGTCCATATAATCAGTGAATGGTGACCTCAAAAAGCCTTGCTCCTCCGAAGACTCCAGCCTGCCTTTTTTAGGCCATGATTTAAAGCACAGGTAAGAAATAGGACCAATAAGTGCATAGGAATATCAGAAGAGGCAGGTGAGATTGAAGGAGTGGGAAAGGCTTCACTGAACAGATTGAAATTTCTTACCAAAAGGGACCTATTTAGACAAGGGAAGGGCTTTCGTTGTTCAAAAAAAAAAAGTTCATTATCTAAAAGTAGAAAAAATGTAGTCATTTAAAGTGTCTTGGATGTAAGTGTTTGCTAGATGTTTTGATTAGTGGAAATTGTGAAATGTAGTCCACGCTCAGATCATTTTAGACTATCAAGAACCATTTAAAAAATGTGGCTGCTGTCTCTTCACTCAAGGCCAAAAGATATTTTAGGATTAAAAACCCAATTTCAAATTCTAAAACATTTATTAATAATTTAGACTTTAAACTAAATTATCCTGGAAAAGCTGGAACTCAAATAAAATCATTTTTTAATCTGGCTCCTCTGTGCAATATTAAGGCAATCTTTAATTTAGTAAATAAACACCTGTGAAAATTGCAGTGCAACCTCTATTAATATGATTTAAACCATGTGTGTGTTCTCCTGAGATATGCCAGATTAATTAATTATCCAGGCCTTGGTGGAAAATGACCTGCTGAAAATGAAAGTAGAGTTCATAACTAAAAGCAGCCCCAAAAGCAGCTAATCTTAACCCCTCATTTTACAAATAAGGAAAGTATAAATAGGTTAAAAGGTAAATCATACTTATTATTTTAGATCACACCACGTCCTTCTAACGTGAGCACTATTAAAGGTTTTGTTTGGTTTCTATTTCTTTCTCTAATATTTCAAATTATATTACATTCAAATGAGTATATTTTTTTCCAGTTTGTGCTTTGAATGGCATGTTTGGATGACTGGCCTAGATCTGGCATTCT